ATAGTCTCATCACCATCATCAACGAAGAACCAATGTTGATATCCTATCTGGCGCTCGGCACCCAGACTACAAATGGCAGATCCTATCTAGCCTATACTACAATGCCGAAGATGACGACAACAGCTCTCCCGAAGTACGAGCAGATAGCGGCCAATGCCGCACGCTTCCAGCACCAGGTATGTCTCTCGCATCACTCAACCTCGTTCCCCAACACACAGATGCCACATGCACCCAAGGGCCACCCTGCGCCACATCCAGCTCACAGCAGCGCAGTTCGTCTATGGCTGCCTGCTCCTTCCTGCTCGCCCGTGAGCACGTGAGCGCCGGCCAGCTTCAGCGCAGCAGCGCTTGCGCAGCATGCAGTCAGCACCCGAATGACCGAAGCGTAGGCTGGCCCTTTCCTATATGGAAATGGCCTGCCTGCGTGCGTGCAGCCTGGCTGTGCTGGCCCTCGACCCAGAAGCTTCCGGTAGGCCCAGGGAGGCTGAGCCTCAGACCAAACGAATTGGCCCAGGGCCACCGACAGTTACTTGTGCCCAACTACCCACAGTCTGAGTTGGGCCTATGCTGCGAATCTCGCCCAGGGCCTGACTCAGATGCATTTGATAAAGGAGATTAGGGCCTGGGCGCTTCCAACCAACTGGTGCTGCGCAACTGCCTGCATTTTCTCCAGTTGCGAAGTAGTCCAAAATAGGCCTCTTAGGGTCCGTCGGGCCTGCCTTCACTTAGGGCGGCCGACGCTGTTGCAAATAGGGGCCCAGTAGGGCATATCGAGGCCTTTGCCTCGCATTCCCTCCTTCATACTTCGCTAGTCCTCTGAGAAGTTCAGTCTTCGATAATCTGGCGCTCGCCTTTCCGTAGAGACTTCTCATATTGAGCGACTACCTGTGGAGCGGTCTGCATCAGTTCCTCGCTTGTGAACCATCTGTCCTCCCTGGGGTCAATGTGATGTCTGAACCGAACTCGGTACTGCAGCTTCGGTGTTGGAGGACGTCCTCTGCCAGTTGGTCTTGGAACTGGCATCTCTCTGTGATCAACGATGTCATCGATGTCGACCTCTCCATCCATGGCTTGGGGCAGCATAAAGCGACGAGAAGGAAACTGGTCAGTTTCTTTGCATGGTGCAAGCTTCGAGGCGTGGAAAACAGGGTAAGTGCCTAAGTGACCAGGTATGCGAACAACATAAGACGGCCCATCTGGTTCATTCCCAACAACATCCAGAATCTCCCATGGTCCAAAGTACTGTGGCATGAGCTTGCGTGAGATCCCGTGTTCCTGTCCCAGTTCTGAGGACTTGACCCAGACTCTCTCTCCTACCTGAAACGTGAATGGGCGGCGGTGTTTGTTCTCAGACTCTATCATCGCCGCCTGCGTTTTGTGCATCTGCTCAACAGACTGCTGCATAAGCTGCTCACATCGATAAGCAAACTCTGAAGTCCCAGGTGCAGCAGGGGGCTGGTTCTCAGGTAGTTGCACTGTTGACCGCGTTGTTGTACAGGCTGGCAATAAGAGCAAGCTTCTCATCCCAGTCTACCTGATTTGGCTTGATGTAATGCCTCAGCAGGTGTTGTACAGAGCGGTTCAACTGTTTCCTGATGTCATCTGCAGCTGCTTTCCCTGTTCTGCAGCTGCGGCTTTCCACAGTTCACTTGTGAATCACACATCACGGTCACTGACTATAGACTTTGGCAATCCAAAGTCTCTAACCCAGTTCTCTTTGAACAGCTTAATCACATGGTCAGTCTTCGCTGTCTCCGGCATTGCAACTAACCTAGCGTACTTACTAAACCTATCCACGATAACAAAGATTTGTCTCATTCCGCTCTTGCTGGTTACCAGCGTATCCATGAAGTCCATGGATAGGCTCTCACCAGGCCTTTCCGGAATCGGAAGGGGCTTGAGGAGCCCACGAGGGGCCTGTGTACGGGGCTTGTCTCTCTGACAGACCTGACAAGTCTCCACGTACAGCTTAGCATCTCTCACAATCGTGGGCCACCAGAACCGCTGCAACAAATTGGCTGCAGTCTTTTTGAAACCAAAATGGACGGTGGCGTCATGACATACTCCTACAAATAAACTACGCAAAGACTCACTATTTGGGACACACAAACGTTTATTCCCTTCCTTCTCAAGGAACAGCAAGTCGTTGATCAACTCAAACTCGGCAGAAGTCTTCTTATCCTTCGCCTCAAGTCTGCGTATGATCTCAAACATGAACTGGTCCTCGCGATAGGCTTCCACCAAAGAACGCGTAACATCGTCCGTAAGGTCGAACTCAGTAATCAGCGCGCCTGAGAAATCAGGTCTACGCGACAAGGCATCAACAACCTTGTTGTACTCCCCTTTCAGATATTGTGAGTCGAAGTCATACTGCTCAATGACTTCGATCCAATGCTTCAGAGAGTCAGAGAGCACCGGTTGAGTTCTCATCCACCTCAAGGTTTGATGATCAGTCCTGAGGATGAAGAACCTCCCAAGGAGATAGTGCCTCCAATGGGTGAGAGCCTTGTAAACCGCATAGAGTTCCTTCTCATAGGTGGACTTGGCCAACTTCTGAGACGGCATCTTCTTAGACATGTACACAACAGGCCTTAACTTTTTCCCCTCCTGTTGCGCAAGTACGGCACCAATGTCATATTGGCTGGCATCCGTGGTTACTACAAACGGTTTATCAGGATCAGGAGGTTTCAAGACCTCGTAGTGCGTCAACGCATGCTTCAGATGTGTGAAAGCAGCCTCGCACTCGTCTGTCCACTCCCATGGGGTGTCAAGGCGGTTCAGATCAGTCAAAGGGGCAGCCACTATACTATAATTCTTCACGAAAGTCCTATAGTAGTCTGTCATCCCTAAGAAAGATCTCATCTCAGTCACAGACTGAGGACGTGGGCAATCACGAATGCTGGTCACCTTCGCGTCATCGGGCTTCAATCCCTCCGCGAAAATCTCATGACCCAAGTACAAGACACGGGTGCGGCCAAACTCGCACTTCTCACCGTTAATCTTGAACTTGTGTTGTCGCAGAAGACTAAGGACATTGTCCAAGTGTGCAACGTATTCCTCGACAGTCTTACTAAAAATAAGTATGTCATCGAGGTACACGATGACAAACTTATCCAAGTAGTCATGAAATATCTGATGCATGGCGTGCTGAAAGGTGCCAAGAGCATTATAAAGTCCAAAAGGCATCACCACAAACTCGTACAGATCGTACCTGGTCTGAAATGCGGATTTGTGTTGATCCTCGGGCCGGATTGCAATCTGATGGTACCCGGACTTCAGATCTATCTTACTGAAGTACCGACACCCTTGCACTCTATCTAGCAAATCATCGATGCGCGATAGGGGCTCTCTGTTCTTTACAGTGATGGCATTGAGGCCCTTATAGTCAATGCACATCCTAAGTGTTCCTTCCTTCTTCTTTGGTACAAATAGTACTGGAGACCCATAAGGAGAAACACTCGGTCGTATCCAACCCGTTTCTACGAGTTCCTTGAGTTGCCGGCGAAGCTCATCAAGCTCACCTGAAGACATCCGATAGATCCTACCCTTCAGGATGCTACACCCTAGGATAATCTCTATCGCGTGGACGACCTCCCTCTCAACAACCCATGTCGGCTCTTCAAATAGATCAGGGTATTTAGCAACTACGCCCTCATCTCCCACGGCATTTTCATCGGCTCGCCTGCAGCAGAGACATAAACTAGATACATACCTTCCTCCTGATTTTGCTTATAGTAATTATAGAACGAGGCCGCACACATGCATCCGTGCGACTCGATCAGACTACTAGCTTTGAACTTTGGCGGTCCCCCCACCTGGCAAAGTGTGTTTGACCACTTTTCGGTCCCAGTCAAAATGGGGTTGTGCCACAGAGAGGTAGTACATACCTAACAACATATCCATGGGGAGTTCATCACTCACTAGGAACGAAACGTGATGTCTAAGTTCCCCTCCCGCGTACGGGAAACAACACTCAACATCTTGGAGGTAGCTATTGACTACCACGCGCTGTTTTTTGGCACAGGTCGACTCCACAGGTCGACTCAGGCGCTGCACTTGCCCCTGTAAGCACAGCCTCTCAACGCACGCGCGACTAATGAAGTTCCTGGTCGAGCAAGTGTCATAATAGCCCCCGACCTTGCGGCCGCCGATGACTACCTTGCTGACGAACATCTCACCCTTAGGAGCTTTGACTACTGCCGTCCAAGAAGCTAGTGGGTCTGACCTAGACCACTCCTCCTCTAGCTCCTCTAAGGACTCAAACACATTCATCGAACATAGGGTCGATGGGTCTGAATGTGTTTACGGAACAACGGTGGAGTCAGTAGCTTGGGCCATCTCTAAAGATGGTGAGGGTGTGTCCACCACCTCGACCCTAGCAGGAACAGCTACTATTCCTACTGGCCCGACGTGTTTCCCGGAGCAGTGCCTGAAGTGCTGGCAACATTGCTACCCACGAAAGCGGAGGATCGTACTGCCTGCCCCATCGTAGGCGGGATCTTCTCGGTCACCTTCTTATTTCGGCACTTGAATTGGTTATGGCCATATTGGCTACAACGAATACAAGCCTGCCAAGTGTACCGATCTCTCCACGCCTCCTCAGCGAGACCCGCTTTCTCCCATGGAGGAGTGTTGGGGTCAACTTGACTCCTTGACCGGGAACCTCCACGGCGTCTACCGATCGCCTTACCTTTTTGTGCTACGGCAGCGACTACTCCACCCCCTCAAGCTTCTACGCTGCCAGCCTCTGAACCTACTCCCTCCTGGAAGTTGTCATCTAATTCGACGGTTGAACCATCGTTATCGACAAACATAATGCGACCCTTCGCCTTCCAGTTGGGAGGCAATGTCTTCTTCCTACCATCCGTCGTGGGGTTATGTCCATGCCCTATCTTGGCCTCAAGATCTAGGGCCTTCTTGCTGAACGAGGGAAAGTTGTGCATATTGATGTTGGCCTCACCTGCCAAATGATTCCTGAGAGGCATGGGAAAGCATCTCAGGTAGGAGGTGAGTAATACCTGGGGGCCATAGCGAACCCCAGGGACACAGATCAGACGCTCTACAACGTCAGTGGCCTCCCTTACTGACTTAACTGCCTCGTGTGCAGTGTCAAGATCGCGTCAGTGGCCTTTTGGGCCTCATGAGGATCGTTCCACCTGTCTTCCACCAACTTGAGAAAGTCGTCCAGTTTCTGGGTGACCGCCCAAGCGCGAAAGTCATGACCGTACCCCTGTAGTTGCACTTAACCACTCAACCACCGTGCTGTACTCCCCTCTAAATAGGAGGAAGCCACAAGCACTTCCTCGTGCGCCAAGGTAAGTTTGCATTTGACATAAATTGGCACTGCCTTCAACCAAGTGTTGAGGTTTTCGCCTCTCTTATCCCCTGTAAAGGGTTTAGGAGCGGCGATAGCCGCCTTTGGTACCCACCGACTTCGTCCCGGTCCCTGCATCACTCCGCTTTGTGGACCCTGTGGTGCAGGCTGCTGCACTAACTGTTGGGGTTGTGTGCCCTGCGGCTATACAAGCTGCGAGACAGCAGGTTGCACGCTTACTGCAACCTTCGACGAAGGTTGTGTGAACGCTGTTTGTACACGAACCTGTAAACTAGGACCTGCAGAGAACCCTCCTGATAATGGCATGCCCAGGGAGACGGTCTAGACCGATGTTGGGGTTGTATAAGGGGATACCCCAATCACCGGTGGGACAAAAGGAGGAAGATGTACAACGGGCCAGGCACCGGGCCTGGACGGTGATGGTGACGCCTGCATTCGCCCAACTAACACATCCAAACTCTGTTGGATGTCCTGCAAGATCTTTGCCTGGTGATCTTGCATCTCTACTACACTTAACAAGACCGACCGTAAGGTTCTCACATCATCCTATGTTGGGTCCATGTCCTCTAACTCACTAATGTCCGCTTGCCTCAGCTGCATCCTGGCTCTTCTCCTAATCATTCTCTCTTTCTCAGCCTTAATCTCTCCCAACGCCTGCTGTAGTTGTGCCTCGCGATCAGCAGCTCGCAATATGGCGACCTCCTCGGGAGTCATCACTCAGGGATGGCTCGACATTACGCCAGTTGACTGACTCTGGGTCTACGCGACCGTTGACCCTACAGCTCCTGAACTGCTAGCTTGGGAACTCTGTTGCGCAGAAGTGGCCATGGCTACCGAAAGCTGCGGCTTCGCTTACGAATGCACTGCTAGCCTCTGCTGCTCTAGCTCTCCTCTGCTGCTGCAGCCTCTCCCTACGTTGGCGGAACAGGTATCTGTCGCCCTCTAGTCCTAAAGCCAAATGGGCTATCGGGCGCCTAGCCGATCGCAGGATCCGGTCAGCCTCTCTAGTGTCCTCCCTGTCGCTCATAAGCTACAGCACTGTACACAATCTGCACTAGTGCAGTCTAGATGCCTACCACAGTGTAATGCACAAACCAACTTAAAATAAATAATTGGTGCCTATGTTAGAGACTATACATTCGGGTTCAACAAGCAAGTTCAGATTCCCACAAACGCAAACTATTGCACTTTGACTAGTTCGCAAACAGAAAGCACAAGGAACAAGGGACAATTCTAAACTATGTTGTCTGTCAGATGTCAATGGTTGTACATCTAACTAATCAAAATAAAAATAGAATCGTTTGTTTGGGTTGTTCACAACATGGGATCTTACTCAAACTTATCACCTGGAATCTACCCCTTCCCCAATTCCCCTTGATTGTCACTTGACGTCAGCGTCCCTGAGAAATCCGGTTTGGCGTGCGTGACTAAAGGTGTGCACATGGCCCACCCCTGTGCCCCGAGTAGCTACTGAGCTGGCCAGCCCTGCACTGTGTTTATCCTCGCGTGCAGCGAGCCTTACACCCATTGGTTGATCCAGAGGCAATTTAACGACCACCCCCAAGTGTCATCAGGAATCATTTTACGACGCAGCAGGACGACGATCACAGCCAATGGTTTCCCCAACCGGTGTTTATTTATAGACGCCCGGTACTCGTCTCTCCCATAGGGCTGGCCTGCCCTTCAGTACCCCTTCTACGAGCGCAGCAAGCAGACAAGGACAAAGCAGCAAAGCTCTACTCCCAGTGGGTTGGCATGGTGACCGTGACCCAGTGCTCCGTCCAGGGCCCTTCAGAAAGCACCGCCCTCTCCTTCCAAATGCTCCACAAGAACAATGTCGACTCTCAAGGTTGAGCGCACACGACACCTCACATGAGAGGACTCTCAAGAAAGAACTCACAACCTCACCGTAAGAAGTGATGAAGAGGGTAGATAAGGTTAAGGGCAACGTACCTCATTATAGTTGGCCACACCGCAAATATTCTCACCAGTTGACCTGATGGCAATTGCGATGACCAGTCACTGCATCGGCACAACCAGCATTATCTCGCCATTCCACCTCAGCATCAATCACCCACCAGATAGTTCTCATCACACTGCGAACACCCAATATACACACTGTAGCCTTCCTGGTGATTCCCCTCTCCTCCTGGGTCGCCAACACCTTGTCTCCGCCCTCCTCACTACGCACCACCTACAGCCAGGCTCACCAAGCAGACCGCATGTATGTACCGCATAGGCAGAAGACAAGCGCCAGATGAGCGCAACGTACCACAGCTCTGACACCAAATTGCAAGGAAGATGAGCGATAGCGAACTTCAGCAATCAAACAACATCATACACATAAGACCAGATAGTCATAACCTCGATCCAATAGCAGAATTGCATCACGAGTTTCACCAAATAAGAGCACACCAAAAGCTCATAATTGACAATGTTGGTATAGTCTCATCACCATCATCAACGAAGAACCAATGTTGATATCCTATCTGGCGCTCGGCACCCAGACTACAAATGGCAGATCCTATCTAGCCTATACTACAATGTCGAAGATGACGACAACAGCTCTCCCGAAGTACGAGCAGATAGCGGCCAATGCCGCACGCTTCCACCACCCTTCCACCACCAAGTATGTCTCTCACATCACTCACAACCTCGTTCCCCAACATGCACGCTGCCTGCTCCTTCCTGCTCGCCCGTGAGCGCGTGCGCGCCAGCCAGCTTCAGCGCAGCAGGGCTTGCGCAGCATGCAGCCAGCACCCGAATGACCAAAGCGTGGGCTGGCCCTTTCCTATATGGAAATGGCCAGCCTGCGTGCGTGCAGCCTGGCTGTGCTAGGCCTCGGCCCAGAAGCTTCCGGTAGGCCCAGGGAGGCTGAGCCTCAGACCAAACGAATTGGCCCAGGGCCACCGACAGTTACTTGTGCCCAACTACCCACAGTCCGAGTTGGGCCTATGCTGCGAATCTCGCCCAAGGCCTAACTCAAATGCATTTGATAAAGGAGATCAGGGCCTGGGCGCTCCCAACCAACTGGCGCTGCGCAACTGCCTGCATTTTCTCCAATTGCGAAGTAGTCCAAAATAGGCCTCTTAGGGTCTGTCGGGCCTGCCTTCACTTAGGGCGGCCGACGCTGTTGCAAATAGGGGCCCAGTAGGGCATATCGAGGCCTTTGCCTCACATAAGGAAGAAGAGCATGCCCATTTGGAAAAAGAGAATGACAGGAAAAATGTGTGGTCATTTACAATTTTGAAATTCCAGCATACCAGCAATGGACGAGGAGAT